TGTGTGTGTGTGTGTGTGTGTGTGTGTGTGTGTGTGTCGGCTTTTAGGCCCGTCTGCTCTTGTGAGCCAGACAAAAGGGGGTTGTCCATCGATCAGCGTCAATTACAGAGACACGACGGGAGACTGACGGCCTGTGGGCTGAGGTAACGGGCCGATCGCTTCCCTCAAGCCGACGCACTCAACGTGGATCCCTTACATGTGCCTGTCAGACACCTGTCCGGCCTCACCGCCGTCCTCCCATGTCGGTTTTTCTAAAGAGCACAGCGAGACGCGATCGAGTTACGTCGCGGGGCACGGATTGTCGGGCCAGTTTTTAATTTCACAACACAAGCGTCAACAGAGCTCGGAAGGATCCTTAATCTGCCCTCCGGGGTCGGTGGCAGCCTCCGGCCAGAGAACAAAAGGCCGCGGCATGCTGACGTGTGTCCCCAGAGCCGATAAGCCCGGTAGTTAATGGTGTTAGGGTAGATTTCATTACCCCCCTCCAGACTGCTCTCATTAAATAAACATCCTCCTGTCACATCCCTCACCCTCAGAGTGGAAGAGGCAGGAGCAGCGAGAGCCGGGGGAGGCACGTCCGAGACAGACAGTGAAGTGAAATGTTAATAAAAAACTTGTCAAAGTTGTAAAATGAATGTTGGCATTCATTTTTACTGGCCCGCCGCCACCCAGAGGACGGATCCCTGTGGTTCTGACTGTACCCCTGACTTTTTCTGTTTAACTTCTTCCTCAGCACCATCGGAAGGTCACGGTTTCCACTTGACAATAGACAGCTGATGCCTTCCGCCTAAAGCAACAGGGGGAAGAAAAAAAAAAACGCAGAGTTTCAACACACAGAGGCTCAAATGTCTAAATATGTAGACAACGCAGCAACTCAGAGTTACTGAGTCTGAGAATAACCAGAATGAATGAAGCTTGGAGTCACATCAGGTTCAGATCAGGTTGGATTATGTGTTGTTTTTTGCCACATGCATAACATATGAGTGACTAAACAATGGGGAGAGTACTTTTTAAAGCGAGACCAGCTTTTTCTTGGTGTTTTTTTGTTTGTTTTGTCACTACACCATTAACGATGATGGCAGCAAATAACAGTAGATTGGCATTTGTTATGTCAAAGATAATTATTATATTAACTGGACTGTTTTATTCCAGGTTAGGATCCACATTTTTTGGAGTTAGAATATTCTTTACAGCCGTGAGATGATGAAAAGTGGCACATTTTGCCTTTTTTCCTTCCAGTTTCATATCAAATCCTCTCAAAAACCTCTTGAAAATGTTAAGTAGCTGGTCTGATCGCATTTCGTTCAGTGGTTTGAAGAGCCCTCTTAATGTAATTACATGTAACCTTCAGCCAGCAGATCTGACTTTTTT